GGGTGATGGTGATGATTATGATGATGATGATGATGATGATGGTAATGGTGATAATGAGGATGATGGTGATGATGATGGTGATGGTGATGATGAGGGTGATGATGATGATGATGGTAATGGTGATGATGAGGATGATGGTGATGATGAGGATGATGGTGATGATGAGGGTGATGGTGATGATGAGGGTGATGGTGATGATGAGGGTGATGGTGATGATGGTGCTGGTGCTAGTGGTGATGGTGTGATGATAGTGGTGGTGATGATGGTGGTAGTGGTGGAAGTAATGATGATGCATGCTAAAGACTATTGAATATTTACTACATACTAGGAGCTGTACTGGGGATATTATAGGCATAGTTCACTTTATCCTCATAGTAGTCCTTTATGGCAGTTAGTATTACTATTTCATTTTTTCCAAAGACAAACTGAGGACCCAAGAGTTGAGAAACTTGCCTAAAGTCATAGCTCTACTAAGCAGTCGAGTGAGAATTTATGTTTATGCAACTGCATTCTTGACCCAGGTTTGGTTTTTAGGACTAGACTTGTCAGAATTTTGCCATGTTTACTGATTCTATTTCTTGAGTCAGTTTTGAAAATATTCCTAGAAAATTATCTATTTCATTTATATTTTCAAATGTGCAATATTCTATGTGCTATTGACTTACAGTTTAAAGTGCCTCTATTTAAAGGGATTGCTTCTTGTGTTTATGCCACTTTTCTCGTTTTTTCTAGATCAGTGTTTTAAAGATTTGCATGTTCTGTTGATCTTAAGGAATGAATTTTTGGTTTCTTTTTAAAGGCTATGCTTCCTGATCATTAAATATCAGGCTGTAAGATTTATTTATTTCTTTTAAAACTTATTTCAATCTTAAATGTGTTCAGGGACTTTTGTGGCCTAGCATAGGCTATGTCTTGGCCAGTGCTCCTTGACTTGAGTAATTGAGATGATAATATTCTGCAGTTGGGTCTAGTGCTCTATGAAACAGTGATTCGGAATTTGAAAATGTTGCTCATGCCCTCAACATTTTGTTTTACATACTAAGAGCCAGAAAAGGCATAGCAAATGTTTAATTATGATTATGGAGTTGCCTTATTCTCTTTGATGTTTTTTCTTTCATGGTTTGTATAAGGGCATAAGCACACTTATGACTTATGTATTTTGACGACTTGACCTTTAACCATTATTTGGCCACTCTCTCTGTTACCACTGCTTTGCCTTTGCATCTACTTTGTCTGATATTACTATGTGTACAGTGGTTTTGTGCTTACTGTTTACATCATACATTTCTTCCTTTACTTCTCTCATGCCTGCCTTTTGTGTTCAAAGTGCATCTCTCAGACAGTGCATGGCTTGGTCTGCTTTTATTTGATGAATCTGGTCTTTTTACATTTCATCTGGTTGAATTTAATCTCATCTTATCATTGTCCCTTGCTGTACAGTTTTTGTCTGTGTGACCTGATTGCTATACTTTTTGCTATTATTTTAACCTACCACCTTACTATTTGTTTTCTGTGTGTTTCATTTCCTTTTATTCCTCTGTTTCTTTTTTGTTAATGGACATTTTTCATTAATTAAATATATTCACAGTATTTTAAAATTTTCCTCTATTGGCTTTTTAGCTATATCTATTTTATTTCATTTTAGTGTTGCTAGGGATTGAACCCAGGGCCTTGTACATGTGAGACAAACACTCTACTAACTGAGCCATATCCCCAGGCCACTCTTATTTTTTAATGATTGTTCAAAAATTAAAGTCTACATTCTTTTTTCTTTCTTTTTATTTCTCTTCTCACACTTTTTTACTGGTGCACTATAGTTGTGCACCATAGGATCTGTTGTTACCTATTGAGACGTGCACACGATCTACAATGCACTTGGCCGATATCACCGCCAGCACTTCCCCCTCTCCCCACCTTCTACCCTGGACCCTTTCCTCTGTTGATCTCCCTTTGATTTCTCATGACATCCCCATTCCTTCCCCACCTTCCTTTTCCTTCTCCTCTCTGGCTTCCACACACAAGGGAAAACATGACTCTTGACTTTTTAAATTTAATTTTTTTCCTTAACAAAATGGTCTCAAGTTCCACTCACTTTCCTGCAAATGATATAATTTTGTTTTTCTTTATGGCTGAATAAAACTCCATTAGGTATATAAACAGAATTTCTTTATCCATTCATCTGCTGAGGGACACCTAGGTGGATTTGTAATCCGGCTATTGTGAATCGTGTGCTGTCAACATGGTATGCGTGGATCACCATTGTAGGATGACTTCACAGAGTCGAAGCACACATTCTTATCAGAAGTGACTGAGCATGAATGTTGCACCACTTCAAAAACTACGTACGATCTTCACAACAACAAAATCCCATTTTCTTCTACTTCAGAATTTTCTGCATGTATTTTTATTTTTGTGATAAGCTGCTGGCTTTCACATCCAGCACGTGCCCTTGTTACAGCCCTTCACACACGAAGCACGGGCAGCGCTCTTCATTCCCTCCTGCGGTTTCAAGTTTCCTTCCAACATTTCGCCTCAGGTGGAGGCATTTCCATTCTCATTTCTTTTGCTTCGGGTTTACTAGTGGTGGATTCCCCAGCTTTTCATTTACTCATAGAATTGTCTTTATTTCACCTTGACTTAAACATTCTACTCCACGTCAGAGTCAAGGTTGCTGATGTCTAC